TTGGCTGCTGCTCCTTCGTTTGGGTGGCAAATTGCATCACCCTATCATGAATATTATGTTTTAAGAACCCACCTTAAATATCCGATATTATTGAAAAAAGTATTAAAACAACAACAAAGGTTTTGAACTGAATGAAGAATTTTAATGCTGATCTTAAGAGTGCTAGCTCACAAGCTTTTTAAGGTATGCCACTTCAAAATCGGACTTCATTTGGAAAAGTTGTGAGCTTTGGAGTACAAGATATGGTGAATTTTAAAACAATTTATTTTTCAATTTTTTGGCATCGTCAAAAATGAAAAAATAATCAAAAACTGTATTATTTATTTTGATGCAGTTGTTTAGGGGAGTAAATCACAAGCTTTTATAAATATACCACTATAAAATCAGCCTTTATTTGGAGTTATGAGCCTTGAAATACAAAGTGTAGTACATTTTGGTACTTTCAAAATATTTGTTTTGGCGGGCAGCAAAAGCTTATTACAAATTGATCTGGCAACGCTGAAACTAATCAGCTTGGGGGCAACAAAATTTTAAATACTGAGCAAGGGTAGGTTCATAATATAGTAACGTAAATTGAACGATTAGAATTATGATTTTAGTTGTTTAAAATAGACATTTTATTATTTCTCTGCAGGTGGCCACCTAGTGAGCCCTAAAACTAGTGATGGCCGATCATAAGATTTTTTAAGCAACCCCCGCAAATCGGATTCCGTCGATGTGGCAGCGCCGCCGTATCAGTAAAAATTCGTTGTGCAACACTGGCATATTGCAAAAATAATTTAGGTACTCGCGTCAACCAGAAAAAAACCCCGCAAAGAACGGCCTTAATGTGCGTGGATTAATCGCCAACCGAGTGGAACGCGATCTGAAGAACCCCCAGCACACGTCTCAAACACGATGGAGGCCCTAATTCCGGTCATCAACAAACTGCAGGATGTCTTCAATACTGTAGGCTCCGACTCGATACAACTGCCCCAAATTGTTGTTCTCGGCAGTCAGGTAAGCGAAATGCGAAAACCCCTGCGCACCCCCAACACAATTTCCAACTTCCCCAAAAAGGGGAGCTCCAAACAAACCGGAATGTTACTCACATATCCACGAACAAAACGTATTGAATTTTCAAGTGCCCGCAAAATTATATAACGGGATGCGTTTGCCGGCATTTTTGCTGTTTTTATCTATCCTGGGTTTTCATGAGCTTTCCTTTTATTTACTTGGCCTTATTGTTTACATAATTTTTTTTGGCAATGTCAGCCGCCCCCATGGAAAATCAATACTCTATTGTATTATACAAAAAAGAAAAAAGACAGCTGCTGATATGACACATTCCTTCACGAACACAAACAACCATACATACATCGCCAATAGATTTGTTTGTCTGTATGTTTCGATCGCGACTTTAATTGCACTTTGATTCACGCTCCGAAATTAATTCAGTATGACTAAATACGTTAACAAGGCTTTGCCACCAAGTATTGGTAAGCTTTTCTAACTTAAATTATGGACTACACAATGTACAAAGTGTAATGGAGAATAAATTTGATCTGCAGAAAGTAATTTATAGAAGAGTGTCAGATAACAACAGCTAATCTGCGGGTTTCCAAGTGTTTCCTTGTTGCACACTCTTTGGAGCTCCTCTTATCAGGCCATCGACGTTTATCAGTCCCGGTTTTAACTCCAATTAATGCGGTTTCCTCACTCCCCTTTCTTTTCAGAGTTCCGGCAAGAGTTCGGTGATCGAGAGCGTGGTGGGTCGCTCCTTTCTGCCCCGCGGAACTGGAATAGTCACCCGTCGTCCTTTGGTTCTCCAGCTGATTTACAGTCCACTCGACGACCGCGAAAATCGCTCGGCGGAAAATGGTGAGCTAAGATATTAGAAACATACAAGAACTGATTCTTACTAAACGATTCTTTTAGGCACCGCCAATGCCGAGGAGTGGGGCCGCTTCCTGCACTCGAAGAAGTGCTTCACGGACTTCGACGAGATCCGCAACGAGATCGAGAACGAAACAGAACGCGCGGCGGGCAACAACAAGGGCATCTGCCCAGAGCCCATCAACCTGAAGATATTCTCCACGCACGTGGTCAACCTGACGCTGGTGGATCTGCCCGGCATCACCAAGGTTCCGGTGGGCGATCAGCCGGAGGACATAGAGGCGCAGATAAAAGACTTGGTGCTCAAGTACATTGAGAACCCAAACTCCATCATTTTGGCTGTGACGGCCGCCAACACGGACATGGCCACCAGTGAGGCGCTGAAGCTGGCCAAGGACGTGGACCCCGACGGCCGGCGCACCTTGGCTGTGGTCACCAAGCTGGATCTCATGGACGCCGGCACCGATGCCATCGACATCCTGTGCGGCCGGGTCATCCCCGTCAAACTGGGCATCATCGGCGTGATGAATCGCTCGCAAAAAGACATCATGGACCAGAAGCACATCGACGACCAGATGAAGGACGAGGCGGCCTTCCTGCAGCGAAAGTACCCCACTCTGGCCACTCGGAACGGCACGCCCTACTTGGCCAAGACCCTCAACCGCCTCCTGATGCACCACATTCGCGACTGCCTGCCTGATCTGAAGGTGAGTGCCAATCTACCTTTTAATCCATCCCATTACCTTAACTCTTAACTTCAAAGAAAAGTTGAGAAATGTACTTCCCCTATTTTAAAATTTAAAGCTTACGAAATTCTGCGAAATGTGAAAAGATGGTTGCACAGCATTTTAATTGCTTGTCATTCTTCCAGGATTGAGCAAAATATTGTGAACGATCTTTATATTTTCTATGATAGAGCAAGAGAAGATTATAAGTAGATAAGGCAATGGTTTAGTGCAGAACTTGATTAAATGACTTTCAATATTTTGTAGACCCGTGTCAACATAATGGCCACGCAATTCCAATCGCTGCTGAACTCCTACGGCGAAGATGTCTCCGACAAGAGTCAAACGCTGCTGCAGATCATCACGAAGTTCGCCAGCGCCTACTGCTCCACCATCGAGGGCACGGCAAGGAACATCGAGACCACGGAGCTGTGCGGCGGTGCCCGCATCTGCTACATTTTCCACGAGACCTTCGGCCGCACCCTGGACTCCATTCACCCGCTGGCGGGTCTGAGCAAAATGGACATACTCACGGCCATCCGGAATGCCACGGGCCCGCGTCCGGCTCTCTTTGTTCCGGAAGTCTCGTTCGAACTGCTGGTCAAGCGCCAGATCCGCCGGCTGGAGGAACCCTCCTTGCGTTGCGTGGAACTGATTCACGAGGAGATGCAGCGCATTGTTCAGCACTGCGGCAACGAAGTGCAGCAGGAGATGTTGCGGTAGGCTAACTGAAAGATCGCTCAGTTGCAATTTATAACCTTTTACTTTTTCGACAGCTTCCCCAAGCTTCACGAGAAGATTGTGGACGTGGTCACGCAGCTGCTGCGTCGCCGTCTGCCGCACACCAACGTGATGGTGGAGAACATCGTGGCCATCGAGCTGGCCTACATCAACACCAAGCATCCCGATTTCCACAAGGATGCCGCCCTGGTGCCCAGTCTGCTGAAAACGGACAGCGATCCCTACTCTCAGATGAATCTGGGACAGCGGCGGGCCAACACGCCGCGCAACCACATGTCGCCACAGGTCTCGGCGCACAGTGCATCCTCGCAGCAGCAGCAGAATAACCAACCGCAGCAGCAATATAGTGAAGCCCATGAGCAGGTGCCCGCATGTTGTGTATTTTTAAATGCGTATTATTAAACCCATATTCGTTTTTCGTTCTAGAATCACGTTGGCGAGAACTCGACGCCTTCAATGGCGAGCACTTGGCTGTCAAACATTTTACCACCGGCACCAACGCGTCCGGACAGCATTGAAAACTCGGCCAGCAACACGCCGGTGCACAACAACATTGTGAGCCCAGTGAAGCCAGTCAATCTGCTGCCCGATGTGCCGGCTAACCACAATCCACGTCGGCTCACTGACAAGGAGCAAAAGGATTGCGATGTCATCGGTCGGTTTAAAATAACTGTCGTTTTTAAAGAGTTAACTCAACATATCCTGTTTATTTTTCAGAACGCCTGATCAAATCGTATTTCTACATTGTGCGCAAATCCATACAAGACTCGGTTCCAAAGGCCATTATGCATTTCTTGGTTAACTACGTTAAGGACAACTTGCAGAGCGAACTGGTCACCCATCTTTACAAATCGGACAGGGCTGAAACGCTGCTCAACGAGTCCGATCACATTGCAGTGCGCCGAAAAGAGGCGGCAGATATGTTGAAGGTAGGTTCTAATAGTTATAACCATGGCAGTTAATAATTGTGTTCCGATTTCAGGCACTTACGCGGGCGAACCACATCATCAGCGAGATCCGCGAGACCCACATGTGGTAGGCTGGTCAGGGATCGGAGCAACCCGTTTCAACTTAATAATCCCCACATATAAGCAACATAAAAACTATTTATTGAAGACGCGTTTGAAAAGAACGAAATCCTTCTTTGTTAAATGTTTCCCCTTCCGAGCACTGAAATATCATCAAATTGCATGCGACCCTATACTTCTGGGCCTTTCATTTTAGAGTAATACTGCATTTCGATTCGCCTGGCATTTGTCTATCATCGAGCCTTGCTTTTTAAATTTATAAGAAGTGTAGATGCCGCGATTGGTTCGATTAGGTTATCCAAAGCACTTATTAAACATTGAATAGTCAAATAAAAGCAGAAAAGGTTGATTCAAACAAGACGGATGTGTTTTATGTGGCGTTTGCAATTTAGCAGAGGAATAATAAACAATGAATGCCACTGGCAGGTAAAAGCTTATTTGAGTAACGTCACCATTAGATTAGATAAAGTCCATGGGTAAAAAAGCTAACGACAACAATGATTAATTTCTAATCATTTTCTTTGGCAATCCCAATAAAACCAAAAAATATCATGGCTTGGAAATTATACTATTCGTAGATGTGGTTTATGTGAATCCACAGTGAAACCACTGAAAATGAAATCACTGCCACTCACCTTTTGTAATAAAAACTTTAATACTTGGATACCAGTTAAAATCTAATTTGGAAAACGTCATTTGTATTGCGGCAAAGAAACAGAAGAGGGTTTTCAGCTGGGATGTGGCATCTCCAGGCATCCAAAGATGAGGATGTAGTGTCCGGTGCTCCATTCCTGCGTTGATTAAATGCTCCGCGGTGCGTGTGAATCTGTGTATGGGGCTGGGGGAGCAGGAAATATGTGACTATGACCGCCATTGGCTATGGTAATCTTCCTTAGGCGCGGTTTGTGTCGGACAACACCCGCACGATGCATCCCACTCCTCCCTTTGCGAAGGCCTTCTCGTGCCACTGCAGCAGGTGGCCACTGGAACCCTCCGAAGGGATCTCAAAGCCCCGATATATGTACTTCATAAGCACGTCTATAAGATCGTTCTGGTCCAAGGTATCGATGGCCTGGTCCATTTGCGTCGACTTGATGGACAGCAGCACCCTCAGTGTAATATTTAGGGCGTGGTCCTGCAAATTCTCGAAAGGATTAGCAATAGCCCGGGGAAAATGTAACAAGGCTGCACCACCTACCTTGACATTTTGGTTCTTGCACCGCAGTGGAGCATTTTGCAGGGCACTCAGGAGTGCCTCTACGGATTTGCCCTGCGTCAGCAGCGTCGTAATCTCGTTCTCATCCGGACCCGCTGCCGCGCTCTCCACGCCGTCATCCTCCCGGAAGTTGTCCTCGTTATACTGGTCCACATCGATTTTGCGGAACGCGTTGCTAGACGTGTTTTTGGCCATGTTTTAAGCCGTTTCTTAGCACTTTTCCTCCCAAAAATATGAATCACAAAGCCGATTCCGGCAAACAGATGTCTGGCAGTGTGACCAGAAAACGGAAAATACTATTTTTTTTATTGTTGCGGTACTGAAAAGTTCAGAATGATAATAAGAGGTATGTATATGCCAATTTACTTTAAAAGTTATAAACATTTTATTTTTGGTATTAAACCTATGCAAAATTATGTAAATGTATGATTGAAATTTTAAAGAAATTAATTGTAAATACATTTCTTTGGCAGAGCTCTATCCAGTATGGTATTTCAAGTTTTTTTTAGTGTTAAACAGAGGTTTTTTTGTACCAACGGTTACACTAAATTGACTTTGTTTTTGTTCCGAGTAAGTCCAAGAAAATCGAAATTATTTACGTGCAATAATCAAGTTGCTTTACTCGTCAGCATGGCAAAGTTTTTGGGCATCAACCGCCTGACCAAGCTGTTCCAGATCGTCCGGGAAGCCGGCGGACTGAAGCAGGCGTACCTGAAGCTATATAGGTAGGTCTCAATCTTATATAAGATTGCTCCAATCCTAAAAACCATATTTTGCAGGAACGACGATCTGAAAATCGGAACCTTGGTCGGCATTGACAAGTACGGCAACAAGTACTTCGAGAATCCGTATTACTTCTACGGCCGTAATCGCTGGATCGAGTTTGCCCCCCATGTCAACATGGATTACGATGGATCCATGATTCCCGCCGAGTGGTACGGCTGGATGCACTATAAGGTGAGTTCTGTCTATGGATAAATATAGTTACGATATATTTATACCAATATATTAAATTTTATAGACCGATCTGCCTCCGATCCGCGATGGTTGCCGTCCCAAACACAAGTGGATTGCGGACCACAGCGAGAATCTTTCCGGCACGAAGGGTAAGCGAAACTAGAGCTGCATCTAAATCATAAACTTATAAATATTGTCTTACAGAGGCTTACTACCCCTACACTACAACACCCAATAAAGTAGAGGCCTGGGATCCCAAGGCGAAGAAACAATAGAGTGAATAGCTATAGTTTAAAATTTAAATTCAAATGCAAATGGCTGCGATTAAAAAGAGCACCCATAAGTGTTAATAAAACCAATTTCGTTAACTTGGCATTCGAATATAGTTTTGCGTTATCGTATAAATTCTAGTTCTCGAACTTGAAATGGAAAAAAACTTGTAAGTTAAGCCTTTAAACGGTCGCTTTATTAGTTCTTCTTTTAATAAATCACAGCTAGATTTTAAAACAGTTGATATGCTATTTATAGCAGGGACCTACTTATAATATTTACATTTGTTTTCTGCGCCTTTTTGGCGCGTCGTTCGAAGATCCTTTGCGCAGTTATTAGGTTTAATCATAGCTGGATTTAATCTAGCCAATCGTTATCCTTAACTTATTTAATACTCCTCTTTGATGGGGACCTTTTGAGCCTTCTTGGCCCTTCGCTTATACTTCTTGGCTGTATCGGCGCACTTGGTGGTGATAGTGGCCCGGATCACCCGCTCCTTTCCGCCCGTTCGGTTCGTCACACAGACAACAATGTCGTCCACTTTGCGTGGGTCCAACTGAAGTTTCGGGGGTCTTTCACGGCCATAAAATGCCGGAGAGGGTTTGCCTGTGAGAGTGTGGGTGGCCAACTCATCGCTAGTGAAGACCACGCAAAGGAGGCACCTTGTAGCCACTGGAGCGTTGGTCCAGAAGACCTCCCCATATTGATGAGCAGTTATCTGGGTTCCATTGGGACCTAGCACATACACAGTGCTTCCATCCGCTTTCTGCACTCGCTGGGGATACTGGACCAGTGAGTCCTTCTCATCTTTTCCTACGGCGGTGTCCGGGAGATGCGATTCCGAGGAGCTGGTGGACATGTGGCGAGGTCTCTTTAAAGGCGGTGCAGGCACATCGTGGGCGCTGTTGTCGTACCGCTGATTCAGGGTCTTCAGCATGGAGGTGAGGCGACCAAAAAGCTGTTCATAGTGATTCTGACTCTTCTGGATCTTGGCCACCTGTTGCTTAAAGGACTCCTCGACGGGAGGCAGGGGTTCCACCTTCGGTTCAAAGTTTATAATTTCTCCTGATGCAGTGGCCATGGCCACCAGTGTGGCGTTGATAATACGACGCTTCGGAGGAGAGCTCCGACGGACTGGCACTGGCTTTACGGGAACCTTCGCCGGAAGGCTGGCCTTCATTGGTGGCGGCATTTGAATCTGCAGTTGGCCCAGAGGCTTCATGGTCCTCTGACGCATCATGGTCTGCTGGGAGGCCACCTCGTAGTTGATGTAGTTCTCGATGTCCATCTCCTCCTGCTTCATTATCGGACGCGAGAGCAGGCGGTAATAGTATGGCACGAAAGTCGGGGCGAATTGGCTCAGATAGTGGTGGTACGGATGGGAGTACTGGACCGTTGGCAGAATGGCAGTCTGCGGGTGAAAGTATAGTGGCTCCGTTCTCGGGACGACTGACATGCTAATTCCCGGAGTCCCGCTATTTGTAAGGTTAGAAGGGTCCTCAGCGTACGGGCGAAAGCCTGCGGCCATTGCTTCTCGCGGATTTTTGGCAACAGGTAGCGAAAAAAGGTTTGTTTCTGGAAAAAAGTGCAGCTGCAGGATAGTTTTCTCGGTTTACTTTGCGAAATTCCGTTTAGTAAATCTCTTTCGGAATCGTGTCTTTATGGCCCAGGATTAACGGTTATTGTTTCTTGCGCCAGATGGCAATCCTACCTGAAGATTAAGATTTGCCAAGGTTGTCAAATCGATATCATTTACATTAAAATAAGCCTTTAAAAATCATAGTTATTTTATTCAAACATATCTTTAAGACAAGAAAAAAATGAAGAACGCTATATTCGATTGGCCACACGCGTGTGATCTTCAAAAATACACGCATATCCTTTAAACTGCTAAATACTTTAAAAAACACAGTCAGTCCTTTTACCCTTTATTTTTGAAGCATGGAAAAAACATTTTTATTATCTTGGTGAAAAATATTAATATTTCACGTTTTTTTGCATGTTATACTTACTTACATAGTATATAAGCATGCATTACAATAGCCTGGCGAAATTCCAGTAGGACTACCTTTAAATAGTATTAATACTAAATCAGAATTTAAGGGTAGGCTTTCTGATCAGATACTACTCGTATATGAGTAAGAGCCTTTGTTCAAAAGGAAATGATGTACATATTGGAATACAGAGAAATTCCATTGTAGTCATACTCTTGGAAACCGGTTATCTAGAAAACCCAGCTATTGAAAAAAGAATTCAGACAAACGAATTTATTGCTAGACCTTTACAAGCTGCAAAATCTCAATCTAAATGGGACGTCTATAAAAAGAAAAGGTACTTTCAATTTTTTCAAAAACTTATTTATTTGGTCATTTGTTTTTCTAAATCCGTATTCCCTTTTTCTACTAAACGTTTAAGAAACATATGTATTTATGTACATACGATATCGTATGTAGTAATCAAATGACCATAGCCGCCAAACACTCAGAATTAACAATTTCTTTTAAACAGACCTCAAATGTTTTTATTTGATAAAACTCTTTGATATTTCTAAACAGCGCAAGCATCCACATTAATGTATCTAAAGTATTCCATTTAATAGGAAATGGCTTATGTCGTGATTCTTGGCCGATAGTATTTTAAAGTCCGTGTGCTGATTGACAACCCTGTGTAAAATTCCATTCACACAGCAGCAACTCTGCTTCCCGCGCAAAACCCATCCAAAAAGTTGGAAATAAAAGAGGACAGCTGGACTAGTTGGGAAATAGTGTGGCACAATTTACTGAAAGAGGGGACCTGGAACCGAACAGGATATCTACCTGGAAAACCTAAGGCAGAAAAAGAGTGAGACGGATCAGCGCGCACACATACTCACTCTCTTCCCTGCACATGCATGCAGTTCTGCTTTGGGTGTGTGCGTATAGGTAGCGTGCATGTGATTGGGAACCATTGTTTTGCTTCCCGGGGAATTGGAGAAAAAGGACACGAAGCGGAGGAATCGGTGGAAAACCACCCTTGGAATGCAACCGCTTTTCGCATTCTGCCGCCAATTTTCAGTTGACGCAGATCCTTCGAAGGCCTAACATGGATAACGTGAGTGGCGCGTTGGTAACTTCCCATTTAACCTTTACCAATGGAATCCATTTCAATTTACAGCAGTATCAGCGCATTGTCAACGCCACTCCTCGCGAGGATTCCCAGTTTCCGAGGAGCATGCCTCTGGTTCTGAATGCCTGGTCGCAAACTTCTAGCGAGGATTTCGAGCTCCTTCGCAGTATTACCTCTCCAGATCCCCAAGTAGAAGCCGAAAATCGGGCTCTCCGGGATAAAGTTCGTTATTTGGAAGCCAAGCTGCAGCAGCATACGGACTTGCTTTCCCAGATACATGCTACTTCCGCCAGGATGCAGCAGGCATCGTCCCTGCTGGCAGACTCCGGTCCACCTACCCCGCCAACTGTCCAAAACCACCAGATCCTCACGCCTCCCAGCTCGGTTATATGTGCTCCCACGCAGAATCCCCAGATTTTAGACTACAAAATTATCTCGGCACCGGACGATGCGGATGCCATTGAGATTCGCCTGGCGGCCGAGAGCCTTAACAGCCTGAGCACTTCGTCGGACTCGGATCGCCTGGAGATTTGCCTGGGCGATGAGAATCAGCCACAGAATCAGCCGCAACAGTACACAATCAGCAGTAGCATTAAACGAGAAGGCGAAGAATCGTCGGGCACACCCTTACAGTTTATCAAACGGCGCAAGTTGCAGGAAATTCAGTTACCCGAAGAATCTTCCCGACAGCACCTCAAGCTACAGTCAAAAAATCCAGTCAAAGTCCGCAACGGCAGCCTAACCGATCTCAGCAAGACTCCCCAGCAAAATATGGACAATGTAATGGTCTCCATTGGTCCGAATGGCACCTGTGTGCCCGCCAGCGTTTTCGAAAACATAAATTGGTCGGTGTCCTCGTTGGCCACTAGGAAATTGCTGGTGTCCATTTTCGATAGGGAAACCCTGGCCACCCATTCAATGACGGGGAAACCATCGCCCGCTTTTAAGGACCAGGACAAGCCGCTCAAGCGCATGCTTGATCCCCAGAAGATCCAGGACATAATTTTTGCGGTGACGCACAAATGCAACGCCAGCGAAAAGGAAGTCCGTAATGCGATTACTACAAAGTGCGCCGATGAGAACAAAATGATGAAAATCCAGACAATTAAGCGTCGCAGCAGTGGCATCAAGCACGAAAAGGAAAACATCTCATCTAGGATTTAGTTTTAATAGAGATTAATGACTTATATTTTAGACTAGCACCAAAAACTGGTGGAGATCCTCGCACCAACCATATAAAACCCATACATATAGAACCGAAACACTAAATGAAACTACTGTGTAGAATATTTTTGAAGATCTCGAAGATGATTTTACCAATCCGAACCAAGAAAATAAAAATATATTTTTAAATTTTAAAATAAAAACAGAATTGTTTTTAAATTTGTCCGCTTAACATTAGGAAATAGCTAAAAAGGACCGCAAGAATCATATATGTATTTCAAAAAGAACGATATTTATTGTACTTTGAGTTGACCAGAGAATACATCGCTAGCTTACAGAGTTGCCAGACTGTTGTACAAAACAGCTGATAATGCTCAGCCGGCTATTTTGGCGGACTTGTTTATAAATTTGCAAAATAGATTAATGTTCAAAAAAATGTCCTGAATGGCGCTCGTTGAAGAAAGCCTTACAAATTGCTTTATTCCAGATTTGGTTGACCAAATTTTTGAGAAATATCGATATCAAGCTGAGTCTAAAAGCTTGACAAAAGGTGAGTTTTATTGGATTTTAAAGATTCAATAAAATAACTTGTGTGTTTCAGAAAGCCGTGGACAGTTGTTTTCTGATTTATGCGTGTTACTAGGCCAAGAGCTCGTATTGCGATCCCTTCATCTCGTGGATGACTATAGTTTCACCTTTTATTATCCCAAACGACATCGGAGAATTTGCGTTGTGGAACTTTCCAAAGGAGCCGAGTATTTCCAGTTGCTCCCAAGGGTAAACTACTGCAAGTGCGAGTTCTTTCAGTGCCACGTATTGCAGCTACCCAGGGGAATTTTGTACCCGGACATTCCCAGAGGACAGAAGGGCATTCTGGAGGATTGGAGCGAGGAAAGCCGGGTGTCCTACACTTGTCAGCACGTCCTGGCAGTGAGACTTCATCAATTTTTAAAAGTTACTGGCAGGAAAACCAGAGAGCAGATCGTTGATAAAGAGGAACTCAAGGAACTACAGAGACGCATCTTCAGGGACTAAAATGGCCGATGAAGATGCTTCACCTTACGGGGACTACAAGTTTGTGGCTCGGGTGGACCACATCAAGACCTTCAATCAGGCCATCAAGTCTATTTGCTTCAATGATGTAAGAACCAGATTAAGCCAAGTTTGAAGCAAAGTTATAAATCTTAAATCTGTATTCCGTAGTACGGCATGCTGCAGGTTTCCGAGGATGGACTGCGTATCACCGTGGAGCAGGGCAAGTCCATCCAGGCCACGCTTTTCATGGCGCCAGGCGCCTTTAGGGAATTCTACATTCAGGACTTCCACAGCTTCGGCCTGAAGATGAACGTGCTGTCCGAGTGCTTGAATCTCTTCGGACCCGCTGATTGCAGCCTGCGGATGATGTACAGAGATCAGGGCGATCCACTGAAGATCATATTGTATCCCTACGACGATGAAGATGTGAGCACAGAGTGCGCCATCAAAACAATGGACTGCGACGATCCGGTCGACTACGACATGAACCTGAAGGACGCGGACTTAAATGTAATTTTCGTCCGCGGGCCAAACCTGTCGAAAGTCTTCAACGAGCTGGAGAAGTCGGCGGAGGAGTTCGAGTTCGTCACGTCGCCCAACCGACCCCATTTCAAGATCACCACCGTTGGGATCATGCAGGCGGTTTTCAGCGTCGAGGTGGCCAAGACCAGTCCCATGATGATGATGTTTAACTGCAAGCAAACTGTGGTCGCTCGCTATAAGAGCCAGCAGATCCGGATGACCAACAAGGCGATGCAGTCGGCCACAAAAGTGGCCATCAAAACCAACGCAGTTGGCCTTCTGGAACTGCACATGGTGATGCAGGGCGAGGGCCATGAGGAGATCTTCGTGCAGTTCTTCATCATTCCACTGCTCCATACTGATTAGGATTAATGACTGGTTGATTAAATATAACTTCTAAATGTTGATAAAAATGCGTCTGATTTTTCGAACGGGGTTTTCTTTGTTGGTTTGACACTTGGAAGGTTCAGCAAACCCAATTTTCATTCATTTCCCGGCACAAGGTCGTTGAAGTGACAGTGTAGCCGAAAAGAGAAATTCAAGCTGTGCTGATAGCTCAGCTATAAATAAATATGTGTACATAAATAAAATCAGTGTCAAAACATCTTATTTTCCCATCGACAGATTGGCTTTCCTAGGCCGGACTGTAATGCTCCCGGAGAGACGCAGCTTCGGCTTCCGTCCGTTTGATCAGTATTGGCCGAGAGCCAGAGGAGCTTGCAGCAACACGGAGCGCGGAAACATGTATATCTTGGCGACGCTGGCCCTGATCCTGCTGCACCTCCTGGTGCTGCCCGTCTACCTGTACCTCACCTGGCACCACAAGTACTGGCGCAGGCGCGGTCTGATCACTGCTCGTCCTCTCACTTTGTTGGGGACTTATCCTGGCTTGCTCACGCGGAAAAGCAACTTGGTCCATGACGTGCAGAAGATCTACGAGTAAGTTCAGGCTTAGTAAATTATCTTAGTAAAATTTTAATACGCATTTCGCAGCAAATACAAGGGCAAGCACCGAGCTATTGGAGTTTTTGTAACCCGTCAGCCGCAGATCCTTGTCCTCGATCCGGAGTTGGCTCACGAGGTGCTGGTGGGAAATTTCCGCTCCTACAAGGATTCGCTGACCAGTTCTTACATCAGACATGCCAAGTGGGACAAGTACGCTCGGCTCAATCCTTTTTGGGCATCTGGGAAGTCCTGGAGGCGCCTTCGCACGGATGCGCAGGCAGGAATTTCGGGACATCGCTTGAAGCAGGCCTATAGTATCTGGGAGCAGGGCGGGAAAATGCTGACGGACTACATGACCCAGAAGGTGACGGAGCAAAGTAACGTCCTGGAAACCAGAGATGTGAGTTATTATAACTTTTTACCATTATATAATATTTGATCTTTAAATCACTATTGTTGCAGTTGTGTTTTCGTTATACGGCGCATGTGATGGCGGATTTCATTTGGGGCATCGATGCGGGAACCCTTACCCGACCGATGGAGCAGCCCAACAAGGTGCAGGAAATGGCCAGCAAGTGGACCAGCTATGCCTTCTATATGATATCAATTTTCATGGCCTCCATTGTGGCTCCCTGCAGTCGTTTGCTACTGCGCTTCCGTTTCTATCCCAAGGAAACCGATGAGTTTTTCTCGAATTTGACCAGGGAGTCCATTGAGATGCGATTGAAGGGCGGTGGCGATTCCTCCCGAACGGACTACCTCTCCCACTTGCTGCAACTTCGAGATCAAAAACAAGCCACCCACGATGATTTGGTGGGTCATGCCTTGACGGTGATGTTGGATGGATACGACACCACGGGCACTGCACTTCTCCATGCTCTATATTATGTGAGTGAGATCGTGGGGAACTAAATGTTTAATTAAAAAATATAATTTTATAGCTGGCGGAAAGTCCTTCAGTTCAGCAGAAGCTCAGGATGGAAATCCTTAACGCCTTGGAATCCGTCAAAAGTCTTGACTTCGAAAAGCTGTGTTCGCTTCCCTATTTGGATCAAGTTATCTATGGTAAAATTTTTCCATTTCACTTTTAATTAGATAAAGAAATGTCTAATACTTGAAAATATAATTTTATCTTTTAAGAATCTCTACGCCTTAGCAGTTTGATACCGCAGTACACCAAAGTCTGCACTTATCCCACAATAATTCAGCTAAATGAATTCAAAAGGTTGGATGTAGAGGAGGGCATGACGATAATGATTCCCAATTACCAGTTTCATCACGATAAGCATTATTTTCCTGAACCTGAGGTATTTAAACCCGAACGCTTTGATAATGGCGCACACCAAGAATTAATGCGGAAGGGGATATTTCTTCCATTCAGCGATGGCCCTCGTATTTGCATGGGTAAGTCTAAACGATTTAAGATTCTATATCTTTTATATATTTCTGGTTGGTTTTATTAGGCATGCGCTTGGCTCTGCTGACTCTAAAATCCGCTCTGGTGCACATTCTCAGCGATTTTCAAGTGGTCAGAGGAAGGGAGCGATTGATTCCCACTGGAGACGCCGGATTTGGAGTGGTTCTTCAGGGAAATGTTAATCTGGAATATCGCCGATTTTTAAGATAGGTTTGTTTTATCATGGCTTATCAAGTATATCAATATGTTATTGTAGAATCACTGACCATTGACTTCTTCATCTTTAAACCAACACCTGATGAATTATTCAAAAGTCTTGTGAAATAAACAGAGATTACGAAAACCAAAAAACAATGATAATAGAATTTTTGGTGATGATTGGCTAGGTTTCCCATAGAACCTAACTTACCTCTCCAACAAACTCATATCAGCAAAGTGTTGGCGATAATGCTATCAAAAACGTGAACCGAGAAAACAAATTAAATACATTGTAAGGTAGAGATTAAAATATGATAGGTCTTGTCAGAAAATTGCCCCCCGTATGTAGAATGTTTCCATTTTGATTAAATGATTTAAGTAAGACCAACAAGCAGTTTTATTTCGCACTTCGTAAGAATCGGTTCGATTTGTTGGCGAGTCGTTATGTTGTCCATTATTGGGTTGTTCTTGGCCTTTGTTCATGCCGCCTTTTTTGGGGTTTACTTCTACCTGACCTGGTACCATAAATACTGGCAGAAGCGTGGAGTAACCACCGCCGAACCGCTGACCATTTTCGGAACCTACCCAGGAATTTTGGCTAGGGGCAGCAGTCTCGTACTCGATGTTCAGGATGTATACAAGTGAGTTTTTGAGTTAATTTAATAAGTCATTATACAAAATAATTATTCCTTTAGTAAATATAAGGATAAGCACAGAGCGGTGGGCACTTTCATAACCCGACAGCCGCAACTTCTTATATTGGATCCCGCGTTGGCCCACGAAATTCTGGTGGATAAGTTCAGCTATTTTCGGGATACGATAACCAGCAGTTTCGTGGGCCACAACTCGGATGAGAAGTACACAAAGAGGTCACCGTTTTTCAGTGCTGGCGAGGATTGGAAACGGAGGCGAACCGAGGCTGGTGGTGGAATCACACCCAATCGACTAAAGCAGGCCTTCACAATTTGGGAGCAAAGTGGCCGAAAGCTCATCGAATACATTGAGAGGGCGAGGCGGGAAAAGGGCGATGTTATTGAGACAAGAGATGTGAGTATTTTCCGGAATATTCTCGTATATGCAATATAATAATTTTTTATGAAATTCACCTTCCTTTGCAGCTTGCCTATCGCTTTACCGCTGATACTATGGCTGACTTTATTTGGGGCATTGATAACGGTTCGCTGGGCGGCAAAGTCGGAGTGGTCGGTGAATTCCAGAAGACCTCCTCGGATTGGACTGTGTATGCCTTCAGCTCGATGATGCGTTTCAACAAGAGCCTGGTGGCCCCTTTCGTGAGGAGACTTTTTCAGATGCGCTTCTTCACCAAAGCGTCGGAGGCGTTTTTCCTGCGATTGACCCAGGATGCAATAAAACTCCGGCAAGGTGGAATTGGAGAGGGTCGCACGGACTACCTGTCCCATTTGATCCAGTTGCAACAAAAGGGAAACTCGATCCACGACTCTGTGGGTCACGCGCTCACCGTTCACTTGGATGGATACGAAACCTCCGGAGCAGTTCTCTATCATATGCTCTACTCGGTAAGTAATCTTTACATTTTTAGTTAAAGTACAGCAACAATTCAAGAACAAATGTACTCTTACTTATCAGTTGAGCGAGCACCGCGAAGAGCAGGAAAAGTTGCGATCGGAGATACTAGATGCCTTGGCCTCCAATGAAAATATCAGCTACGATCAGCTGAATGCCCTACCCTTTTTGGATCAGTGCTTAAATGGTAAGTTGATATCAAGATATCAAGAGTTCCAAACAAAGCTGTTCCCAACCCCTTTCAGAATCTCTGCGACTCACCACTCCCATTGGGTTCTCTATGCGGATCTGCACCAAGCACGTTCAGATCGATTTGGGCAATGAGAAGACCCTGGACTTGGAACCAGGAATCACCGTGATGGTCCCCGCCTTTCAGTACCACCACGATGACGCCTTCTATCCGGAGGCCAGTGAATTCAAGCCAGATCGCTTTGAGAATGGAGCAGCAAGTGTTTTCAACAAACGCGGATGCTTCCTGCCCTTCGGCGACGGACCTCGAATTTGTCTAGGTGAGTCCTAAAAGTAATGATTTCCCCCTGAAAGAAGTGTAAACCTCCCACTTCAGGTATGCGAGTGGGTCAACTGAGTGTCAAGACAGCCATCTTGCACATCCTTTCAAATTATTCGGTGGAGCAGACGAAGAAGGTGCCTTTGGGCGCGGACACCGGCTTGGGAATATTCCTCAATGGCGATGTCGAACTGAAATATACAAAATTGCGAAAATAAAAAAGGAAACTTTATTTTTGCAATGCATTTTCGTTTTATTTGCTGGCCGTGTTGCATAAGTGCAACGGGCAGATGTTGCTTTTGCATAAGGATTGCTGTTGGCTTTTCGCTTTTTATATTTTGGCGCAATAGTAATTTGTGTACGAGTGTGTGTGCAAGTGTGTGTGTGTGGCCAGTGCAAGTGTGTTGGACTTTTGGGGGCAACCGCGGCGAAATTTAATTTAGCGCAAACCGACCGCAGACCAACTGACACTCCCCGTTTTAACCGCCCCTGGTTTTTTCCTATTCAGCTTGAGTTTCAAGCTCATTCAAAAAAAATCTGGGTATCATAAAAGTTTTCAACATTGTTTCAGAACAAAAAATGACTACTTTTCGCCACAGTTAAAAAATAGTAAAAATTTATCTTTCGACACTCTTTAACTTATTCCAATGATCCGAATTTAGTAAGGATTTTTTTCCAGTGCACTACTGAGCCTTTACTCTATGCACTTTCATATTGAGCGACCGCATGCAGTGGACGGCGTCGAAGGACGAAGGACAAAGGACGACACCGACACCGATCCCCAGCCACAATGCCACCGCGTGTGCATGAGTATTGTGATGCAGGCGCTGGCTTCCATTTTTCTAGCTGTTATTTACATATAAATTTTTTTCCTGCTTTTTGTTTCGCAACAAGCCACAAAATTTCATTTGAGCTTGCAATATGGCGCATTTAAATTCGCTCTCTTTTCCCGCCAGTCGCCTGTCGAAGGCAAAAAACGTTTGCCGCAAACGGAATCAGCCATTTTATGTGGCTCCATAAGTCGGCGGCAAAACGTTTTATGTATTAGGCAACGCAAATTGCGGATTGCCTGGCAAAATTAGGGTTTGCTCTCTGTCACCGCAAATATTTGAATTCAATTTGAATTTTGATATATTTGCGTGTGGATTGGTAGACCAGGATCAAACAGTCGTAAAAAGTTAATGACTGGCGCAGTTAACGCGAAAGCGAAATAAATACGAGTGGCGAGGAATGCGGGGGAACTCAAAAGAAGATTTTCATTTCCTTTAAACAGTGAGAGAAAAAGTGTGGAAAAATAAAATAATTAAAATTGGTTGAAAGAATAATAAAGGTAAATTTATTTATTTTGAATAATTAGTAAAATATTTTTAGTCCAACTCTACTAAATTTTTTGAAAAAAAAACATTTTTTTTTTTAAGTTCTGTTTTAATTGGATTATTATGTTAAACTGTTTCCATATCCTTTTACCTTTCACATTTTAAGCTCATTAATTTTTTGAGTACTTTTCGCCAGTGTGGCAAGGGCAAAGTCAAAGCCAAAGCCTTCATTTCATGTTGCAACAACACTCGAAGATAAGCAGTGCCAGCGGGCTAAAAAGGGAGGCTTTTGGGAAAACAGGACCTTCCACGGGGCTTTCCCCAGTAGGAGGCACAGGCACAGGCGGAGTTTTCCTGCCCGGCTTCATGCTACGTTGGCTTTTATCCAATTTACCTGATAACCGCAAATGAGCGTTAATGGGCAAATAAATAGAAAAGTGCCAACTACGCCACTGCGACGCGTTAACTGAATGAAGCTGGCGGAGCGGAGTGAAAGGGGGTTTCCCTGGCTTTCCCCGACTTTCCAACTCGCGTTCCCATAACCATTTGTGCGGCTTGATGCCCCGTCGCGTTTACTTTAGTGCACATACTAAACCAATTTAATGCGCTCCGACGTTTTAGGACTTTTTGGGTTACAACACTTGGCCGGGTGGTTTTTAATTTCGGGGGCTTAGGTGCGAGAGTCTTTGGTGCAGAAATTTGTAGTTAATAAAAGGGATTTTGTGTTCATACTAAACACCCATGAGTAGGAATTAAATTAGGGAAACCATTTTAAATATATTTGTATTTTGAAAGGTTTTAGCGCAATCATTTCATGGTTTTTAATCTTAAAACCTATGCAGGACCCCCTAAACCAAATGTAAATTTCAGCTGGCTAATTTCTTCCGGTCGTAAGTGATGGGGGATCCTTCAAAGTGTTGCCCTTGGACGTTTGCGAGGGGGGGAAATCTATGGCATTTCCAATCAGCCTCGGTACTCAAACATCTCCGCCTCCGATGCCCCGAAACACGTTTGACAAATCTGCACACTCTGGCAAACAATGTGCCAAATTTGAGGAGAGTGGGTGGGTGTTTGAGTGGGCGGAGAGGGAAGGAGGGAGGGATAAGGAGGGTCAGGGGTCACGGTACTCGAGCCCTGCCAACATTGCGTCAACGTTACATTAATTTCTGCACGTTCCATTTGCCAGCGGGTCGCCTTTCGGATCCTGGTTTCCATTTGGTTCCGTTCAGCTGGCGGCATTGCAACACTTTGGCCACAAACACAACAACAAAGACACCAACAGAGACACCCACACCAGCACAAACAGATCCTTGCCCAGATGACCAGGCACTGAGGGAAAGTTGGGTCCTTAAAAGTAGTAAAGTCTATTTTAATGTCTAGTTAAATGGGTTGGAGATTCAGTTATCATTGTTCTTAAAAATACATTTTTAAAAGAGGGTTTCTGATATTGAATTTTGTTAAAATTATTAAAGAACTTTTAAAAGAAAATTTCTTATTCCAATATACAGGGTGCGCCATCTCGAGCTTCGGTATGAAAATATTAAATAACTTTGGAAAAAAACAAAAATTCATGGAAAATGTTTTACATATATTTAGATTGATCCTTTACAATTCATTTGAGTTAGTTTTTGAATACAATATCGACTAAGTGACTTCCTTTGTTCTTGATGGCAAAAAGTGTCCTTTTTCGAGCATTTTCCATTATTTTCTTGAGCAATCGGCCGATATATTGGCCATTTCGGTGCGAATACTCTCCTTGAGCTCTGTGATGGTCTAGGGCTTGCTTATGTATACCCCACAAAAAGAAATCCGGCGGGGTCAAGTCCGGCCAGTCGATATCGCCTCTTTTTGACACAACGCATCCAGGAATTTTGCTGCAAAAACTGCATGGTTTCGTTTGCTGTCTGACATGGGACCCCGTCCTGCTGAAACCAGAAATTTTCTAGACCCTTCAAAAACTAACTCAAATGAATTGTAAAGGATCAATCTAAATAAACATAAAACATTTTCCATGAATTTTTGTTTTTTTCCAAAGTTATTCAATATTTTCATACCGAAGCTCGAGATGGCGCACCCTGTAGTTTCTCCTTGTGCACCCACACGAAGAGGTGGTCTAAATGCAGGCCAGCAAACGGCTAATGGAATTAGCAACAATTTAACCATTAAACACATCATGTGCATTGGCATGTTGCACATTCAGTTGGTAGATTACTCTTTTCCTCTGGCCCATTGTCCTCCCCCCCTTCCCCCCGATTCGTTACCCCCCATCGAGCATTGTTTGAAGTCCCCCGATTTGGCCAGGGGTTTTAGCCGGGTTCTGGCCGGTTAACTCGGTTACAGGGACCCGGTTGTCTGGCTCGAACGCCGATGCCTCACGCGGTTTATTGGCATTAAATCGGAGCGCCCGTTGCCAATTTGGCTTTGGCCTGCTTAATAGACTTTGGTTTGCTTTCATTGCATTTCTGGCCCTGGTGTTGCTGCCCCGTTGCTGCCCTGATTCACCCAGATTCACCCTGATTTGCCCTGACAAACGTGGCCGCTAATTAAATGGAAATTCTAACCATTGCTCTGGGTCATCAACGTGCAGCTTTACTGGCCATCTCGGCCACAGCCGGTTTGCTATTTGCTATTTGCCAGAAATGGTGGATAAGGAACGGCTCAGGATAAGTATCTTCCGCCTTTATGGCAGGTACTTATTTGTCGGTAAGCCAGAGCAAATATTTCTGCTGAGTTGGCACAACTTGCTGGACAAGCGCTGGTCCACCGACTCAATAGTTTGAGATTGAGATGGTGGCCAGCGGAGAACTAGCTCGGAATTAGAGAGATTTAAGAAATCAGGTGGAAAATTAAATGGCAAAGCGTAATAAGGAGAAAATAAGGCTTTATCGAAGTTTCAAAATATACATTTTATTACTTCTTAAGTATTTTTTATAGGTTAAAATAAATACATTATTTTAAACTCTGTAAGTTAAAGCCTAAATAGAGCTATTTGTTTCTTTTTAATAATTTCATTATAACCAAAACTAGTTTCCCAACATTTATCAGCATCTCCGAGCAATTTATCCCCATAAAATCCACACATGACTTTCGGCTCCAGCCTCCTTCTTGTTTGCTGATTTTATTTGTGTGTTTCTGCCCGGAATGGGAGCTAGATTCATCCGCCCCGTGGGCCTGGTCAGGTAATTTGGGCGGAAAAAATGGCATCATTAGCCTAACAAATTTGCTGTATGCCCATAAATCGCCCAAAAGTAAGCAAACCAAGCCGAATGGAAGAGCCTCAAATGAAGCGAGTCAAAGGTTCAACTCTTAATTAAAATTGAAAGTGGCCCAAAGAGTCGAGTAAAATTTTCACTTTCCGCGCAGTCTGTTGTCCGACATTTTCATTAGGGAAGCGAATGAAAATTAAGCGAATTCTAAATGAAAATAGACAGCAACTTTAGGGCCGTTGTTGCTGCTTTTGTTGCTGTTAATTCGTGCGCCTCTCCCCCAGACGTCATAAATCATTAATATGCTAAAATAATGGCTGGAGTGGCGGCCCCATCGAGTACATATAGCCAGATATTGCGAACACGCCCACTTAAGCAGCCAGCGAGCCAAGAGGACCCTCTCCTCGGCTTACTGCGAGTGTGGGGCAGATAAAAACTTAAAGAATTATAACTTTGGGGCTTTGGGGGCCTCTGAGGCCGGCGCACAATGACCACAAAAGTAAATAACATGCCATCCACAAGCCAGAATGTCCGAAAAAATATCCACAGAGGAAGTCAGGAAGCGAGAAGGAGAAGTTTTAAATATAATTTCGGCTTTTGTGCTAGTGCGTCAACATGGAACATGATATGGCAGACCGAAAAAATAGGAGAACGTCTCTGAGGACTGTGGCCAGTGCTGCCAGCTTCAGATGGGAG